AGTTTCCAGTGAGGGATTCAACCCGAAGATCGGGAAGCAAGATTGTGAGCAAACCTAAGCTGTAGTCGTGACCAGTAGATTTGGACAGATTTCATGGCTAGATTTTTATGAGAACAATAAAAAGTGACCTTCAAACAAAAACGAAATGATACCAATGAAGGTTTTCTTCCTCAAAAAGAAGGATCAGTCCAGAAGCACGATAGAGTCTGACAGGGAGTCCATATAGCAGTTCCGTATCACTATAGGAACCAACAAGGACTTTACTGTTGACTCTGCATTGAATCACTAATGATTGTCGACACTGCAGAGATTATACAGGTGAATCAAGATTGAATAGAAATAATTGAGTTTGGTTAAGCTGAATTAAAACTAGCTGACAACGACTTCAAAAGTTATGTGTTGCTCAGATGGGAGAGGTTTCACAAAATAAAATTTATGTGTTTCTCAGATGGAAGAATTTATGTTCCTCGGATGGGAGAAGTTTGAAAGAATGAAGGGTACTGCTCTATTTTGGCGGCGCCAATTCAGGCCTTCGGTAAAGACGTATTTTTGCTTTTGCAAAACGTTTTTCTAGCTTCTCGATAGCTCAAATCAGGCAAACTTCAATGGCATTTTTAATTTCCCAACTAGTTCATTTTTGGCGTGTACTAGTCAATATAAGATATTGTTTCTCATTTGAAGATTTCTCACTAGATAAAAGGTTTGTTGTAGTGAACTTTCAATCATTAGATAGAAAACATCTTTCCGATTACAATGGCATATATGGCTGTCGAAAAGAACTTTTCGAGCTTTGTGACGACCGAAAGAATATTGGGCTTCACACTCAGTGAGCACTTCTAGTCGGCTAGGGTGCGAATTGCAGAGCTCTAAGAAGTTTTTTCTAAAGAGCAAACAAATTTTATTACTCAAAAAGATTTGCTCTATTTAATGGCCAAAATTTTGTTATAAAAAACTCTTATTGATTGAGAAATCTTCAAATGTGAAACAAAATCTCATTTCGACTGGTACGGCGTTAAAAACAAGCAATATGAGAAATAAAATATACCTTCAAAATTCACTTCATTTAAGCTATCAGATAATCGTACAATAGTCAGATAGCAGCAAACGATACGCTTATACCGAAGGCCTCAAGTGGCCCCGCCATAATGGAACAGTACCGAATGAAGTAATGTGAGAACAAATAGAGTTCAAGTGAACAACTTCTAAATCTCTGTGCGAATAAGAAAGCATCTCATGAAAGGAAGGAAAACTGGGGTGGTTCTAGAATTACCTGGAAAAAAAATTACGATGATTTCGACTGGCTAATGACATGCAGTTTGAGGACGCAATCACCCATATGACGGCATTTTCATGGTTTGTTATTGTGAAGAAAAAGGGCGTGGGAGAGAAACAACAACAACATCGGGTAGAGTAATCAAAGCACTCGATAGTAAAGCAAAACAAAACGACAAGCTTTCAAGATCAAAATCATCAAAATCTAATCCTGCAACTAAAATTTTCGATGTGTTAAGATAAGTGGAACAATGGGTATCGAGGATATTTTTCCTCTGCTTTCGGAAATTTCACTGTTAATTAGGAATTGATTTGACTGATATTGAGTAAAAAACTAGTAAAAACGATGACAGATTATCATAAAAATCCTTCCCGAACGATAGATCTTATAATCGCATAAATCGAACAACAATTCCGATCGATAGACTTCCGATGAATTATGCAGAATTTCGGAAAAACATCAACCATGTGAAACACTGACGCATGCCATCAAATTATTTCCAACTGACTAATTTTTCAAACAGTTTTTCTGAGAAATGTTTTTTCGCACTTCTCATTTGTGCGTACTCTTCGAAAGGAATCAATTGAAAAGGTGTTTTTTTTGTTGAGCCTTCCATGAGGCCTTTTATAGGCACTTATACAGCGCAATTCACGTGTTTGCAGCCTTGTCAGTTGTACGGTGCCTTTCGTTTGAGCCGATCCTTTCGATGGAGAACCCCCTTACATAAAGGGGTCATTGACGAACATGTTACCCTGCCATTGTAAAGTAAAAATTTTCTACACACACGGCAGAGATAACATATCACAACATGTCCAGTGGCATGATCACCGGACATTGCGGTGATTAATTGTCGATAGCTCAGGGCTGGTATTTTTGATATTGTCTTCTGTATTTTGGACCTCGCTCAAAACAATATAATTTGACAATGTATTTTTTTCTTTCTTCATGGAAGGCTCAGAAATGTATTGTCAAATTACATTGTTTTTAGAGGTCTTGAATAACAGTCAAATACGAAGATATTATCAGTTGTAAAGGGTTGTTTAATCATTTCACAGTTTCTTAAATAATCACAACAAGGAAACTATGAATGAAAAAAGAGGCCAGAATAAATTCATATTTGTTGCCTTTCTTCCCACTGTCTTTTTCGAGTTCATATTCTTGCATAATATCCCGCGCGCATTTGAATTCAGTCATTCTTCTCGCTAATATCCACCGTTCCAACTAAACAGGAAACGCGATTTCCTATGTCGGACTTGCCAAAAGTGGTTTTTCTGCCAGCATTAAGCGAAAGGAATTTCATATAACAAAAGAGGATTTAAAACAAAATAAAGTGGACGAATGACAATTGAGAAAATGAAAGCGAATGAATGAAAAGTAAGAAAAATAGAAAATAAACATAATGCGTTGACTTCTTCCATTGAATTCCCTCTTAGTCATGAACACTTCGGAATTTTCCCTAAATATTTTCATTTTCTATCGTATCACTGCTGTTGTCAATATTATTAATACATCTAGTACACTTATTAGTGACGTGAAAAGAGCTGTGGTTACAGATGTTGTGTAACGAAAAAAAAAGCGTAAAATCGCTGATTCGGCTACTCCATGAAACAGATAGGTTTCTTATATTGTCGGAAAATTGCTTTCAGACCTGACTGAAAAAAATTTTCTTCGAACTTCAAGGATAGATACTACTCGCAGCAAAAACGTCCGAGATATTCGCTAGTGGCGAACACATGCAGAGCGGAGACCTTCATGGAAGATAGATGCGAGAGAATCGTCAGAATGAAAGTGGTACACTTTGCACACTCTGTGGCCTTGGCTCATACAATATATAAGCACCTGCTGTAATTGTGATAAATTGTATATATATTCGCATTTGCTCTCATAATCAGAATATATTTATATTTCAAAACAAGTAACTTCGATTGTTCTTTTGATAATGTTGATACTAATCATACTTTTGCTGATTTAGTCTGCTACATGTAGTTTTTGATTGAGAAAAGTAAATCTTTGTCACAGTATTAATATTAAATACAGTACTATCGCGAGCTTAGTGGTAGAGCAGCCTTCAACGCATACCAGACTAGCATGGTTTATAATAATCTGAAAGAGAGAGCATTTCTTCCGGCATCGTCAGAAAAGTGCTACCAGGCTTACCTGGACAGAATGTAACGTTTGTCGTTGATGAACGTCTAAGAACCTCCTAACTGTCACAAGACTGAAGAGGAATCGGTTTTTCCAACATTCATCGACATCATAAGAAAGGAAAAACTAGAACTCTGGGTAGAACTCTTACACATAAGGTTTGAAGACTTCCGCTGGTACCACGATTCTGTACCGGCTTAGGTATAAAATGACTGTGACCTGCTGTATTTATCGCTACTCTCGATAAAGGCTGAGAGACCATAAATTTCAAGGGCTGTTTTGAGTTGCTTTGAGATTTTGATATGTCAGTGGCATACGTACGTATCGGCAGTCTCTCCCGCCATCCCAGAGTCTCACGCCCCACCAGCTACCGTGATACGGAATAGGGAAAGGATGACACATAATGTTAAGACCAGCAAACGTGAAGTGTAGCCTAAGTCTTTTACAATCATCGGCACAGGGCTGTCATTTTTTTTCATCGATAATGCTCTCCATTCAACCGACGAGCGGCCGTATGCCATCGACTGTAAAAGACGCGGCCAATATTTCACGTTGTCTGGTCTTAATATTGTGTGTCCCCCTTCCATACTACATAGGGTAGCTGGTGGGGCCGGTGATCTGACGGGCGGGAGAGACCGCCGAAAGGAACGTAAGCCACTGACATACTAAAACCTCGAAAAGACTCAAACAGTGCTTGAGAATTCATCGCAGTTCGGGAGCACGGACTTCAAGTAACAGTTGAATAAAGAGCAATGACTATGAAATCGTCTGCTTGTCGCCATCCTATGTAAAGCCTTTCAGTAGATTTCACTGCTCGTCGAAGAGGGAGTAGCACATTAATAGGTAAGAATCAGGGTCTCTGTGAGGATTAACGATTGATGGTGAGAAGCAACTCATGTTGAGAGCATGTGATTTTGCTAAGCTCTGTTACTACGGTTTTTCTGCAAAGATCATCGCTTTTACATGTAACTAATTTTCAACATTTCAGCATATGTGACTTCATCTCTTATAAAAAAGCTGCTTCTCTGATTAACTTCTCACTCAGCATACAGTGCTTATACTGAATTTGCTAGGGCACGAGTTATTCTGCATTCAAACATTTGATGGAAGGTTGTTGCCCTCGACGCCGCGATCTAATGATCTTTGAAACTCACGAAGCTGAAAATTTGGTTGAACCTATTTGGTTTAGAAGCTAACGCTTGAGTACTACGTACATCTAGTTAAACAATGGAATTGTTTGAGAGGACTCGCTAAACTGAGTCTGAAAGGATAAACAATTAATCACCTCCACATAAATTCCAATTTTTGTAGACTCACTAAAGACCAACACAGATCTAGAAAACTGCCCAATATTGTGAAACATTTTATGTCAATAACATTATGTGTTATCGCATTGCCTGAATCAGCTTCGCTAGTCATCGAAAGAATCGAGGAAGCATCGAAGCATCGACAACGTTCACACATTTCTAACCAAAACGGCTTAGGGATTCCATGCATCATAAACAGCCCACGCCAGAGCGTAGGCGGTCGGGTGTTGACAGATAAGCACATTGTAGCGTAGAAAGGGTGGTGTGCGTAGAGAACGTTGGTAGGGCAACGGTTCAGCACGCGCTACCGGAAACAGTGAAATCTGGGGTTCGAGTCCCAGCTGACGCAAACGTTTTTGCACATACTCTACATCATTGGGTTTATTGTAGCATCATAATTATCTAATCTCATGCATAAGATAGATTGTTTTTTAAACTTGTGATAAACATTCAAAATAATTCAAAAAAAGAATGTTTTTAGCCTAAACGAGGCTGATACGCCAGGGCCATACACCGGTGTTTCGGAGATTTCGGCATCCTCGTCAGTGACCCCAGCCCCACATTAAGCCCAGCATTGTAGCAAGGAGGGAGGCGTATGTGGTGATGCATAATGTACAATGACATTGGTCCATCACCACTGTTCAGTCGATGGACTTCGGCTGGTAGACCAAAATTAATCCATAAGATCGACTGTTTTTACAACCTCGTGATAAACATTCGAAATAATTCCAAAAAAAAAAGAATGTTTCACCTTCCTTCTCTTGCTACAATGCGGGGCTTAATGTGGGGCGGAGGTCACTGACGAGGAGGGCGAAATCTCCGAAACACCGGTGTATGGCCCTGGCGTACCAACCTCGTTTAAGCTGAAAACATTCTTTTTTTTGTAATTATCTAATGACATCCAATATTTTAACATTTGTATTTTGATAGAATGTATAACTATGGGGCGGAGACAGATTCCGCCTCGGCGAAGTTGCTCATAGATGAGTTGAATTTCGAATAAAACATAAGGCGCTTCGGCTTTGCTCATTCCGCTTGAAAGACTAATAGCTTAGTAATCATTACTGTGAAAGACCCTGAACCACAACTATAACATGACTGTAATATATCAGTGATTGTGTTTTCTACTAGGTTGAAGAGTTTGTTCTGGGGCACTTTAATACGCATGTGATAGCTCATGTCAATCATAGGAATATTATAGTTTCTTATGTGGGATTTTCTCACTGAGCATTTATATATTATTCGTCTTTATTTTCACTATGTTATGACCCTCCGCCATGTCCAACGATACAATCGAAGTTTGTGCGTCATTAATGGAGAAAGGGTCCTTCACAGCGAGTTGCAGTGGGTGAAATCAACGAAGTTGGAGGAGAAGGCGCAACAAGCAAATATGCTGGTGGGCGCTAGTTTCAACGCTTCTCAGTGCCGAAGATCTCGACCTCGGAGACAAGCCTCGTTCAGGACGTATAACAAACTTGAACAACGAAGATTTGATTGCTGCTATGGAAAATCAACAGTCGGTACTTTGACCAGATTCTAGACTTGGCGGACCGATAGCAGAAAGTCGGCAAGAAAACGATGGCCTTAATTTTGAAGAATAGTCGTTAAAGCTTTTGTTTGGAATTCATGTACGAAGTTTAATTTTTTGTAAGTGCCGTATAACATCCTTTCCAACCTCTTATAACAGAGAATTTAGTTACGATTTTTTTTTATACGGCTTATCAAACTTCTTCAGTGTTTATTAGCCTTTGTAAAATGTTGTCTCACCGCAATCATTAACTTTTTATACTCATGCAGCGAAACAATGTGGCATGATGTATTTTGCCTCTGTTTCGAGTCGCTGTATTCAAGCTCTGTGATCTATAGTTGAAACCTTTTTCAAATGCACTCACAGTTTGCAGGATTGCTCTTCGTCCAGTGTTTTGTTAGTCCCACAAAGGGCGACTCCAGTTGAGAGCTAGCTTGCAAATAAAAGACAACAGATACATTGGTCAGTCAGCAAGTGAGATTATGTACGTAATCAGCTCCATGTTCTCTCCTTTTTTACAGCGACTGCATCTTTAGAGAATTGCGTAACAATCACCAACGTGTACAATGCTGTGGTGTGAATACTTAAAGAATTGCGTAGCAATCACCAGCGTGGACAATGCTGTGGTGAATACTGTGTAAACATTAAAAATATCTGGAACCATTCTTCGTGGATAGAGTGTCGTACCCAGAATTTACAGAGAAACACTATCGTCTTCTTTATCTTTGTATCTTTGTTTTGTTTGTCGGAAAAGTCTGATGATAACTATAGCATTTTTATTAGCACTGTTTTTGTTGTTAAGAGCGTTTTAGAATTTAAGACTGTCTGCATCAGGAGCTATTTAGTAAAAAAAACTACTTTTGAATGTGGAAGACGAAAAGATTACATTGTTGGAATGATCGACTTTTATCTACATTTGAGCAACTACAAATTATTCTCTTTTCAACACGATATGGAAAATAACTTAATAATTGTTACTACGACGCCTAAATTCAAGCGTTTGTAGAGAAAAGATTAGAGCAAATTATATTATACGACATAGTAGCCTACAAAGACGGTGGAATCACGACAACGACGGCAGTGGTGACGATGATGACAGGCAGTGTTGGCTTCGGAGCATTCTGATTAACGATTTTGGTGGCTGATCGGTCCGCCGACTTTGAAGAGATTCAAACGGATTAATGTCTGTAGAAGCGAGTCATATCGTGCCAGAAGCACGCTTTCATATTCTCAAAGCGATCAAGACATGGCACATAAGACATATCAAGTCGAACTGGGCGTCCTGCAACGATTCTTCGGTTAAATTTTCACAACACCTTTTATTTAGCACTGGGAAAGAATGGGAAGAAATCAGAAAATCGAAAGCAAATCTGAGGAAAAAGATCTGGAAAAAGTTGCTACCAACAAATTAGATCACGTATGTAGCATTTACTTCACATGTCTTGATTATTGAAAGAAAACTAACCGAGACGCTGGTCGCATAAAGTTAAACACCTCATTCCGGCCAATGTTGTAGTGACACCATTACGAGCACAACACTCAGTGTGATCTCTGGAATGTTCTCGTAGATTTTGAAGAATGAAGCTTTCTTGCCGAAATTATGTACAGGCTTCCATCATGTAAACGCTAATATTAGTCGGATCTTTCTTTTACTAGTTTTTTTTGTGGTATCAAATTTCATCAAAGATGATTTTGCTATGTATTAGGTTGAAAAGGAAATCTTCCATCGTTTGGATGGGAATGTCGTTTTTTTTTCGCATAAATCGTGATACCATTGTAAGGTCTGCTTCTTGCGCATCTATTGATACAAATTTGGTTCAAATGCAGCTGATGCTGCTCGCCGAATCAACAAAGCTTGGGGAGACCGTACGGTTGGAAAACCAACAGTCCGCGAACGATTTTGTGAGTCCAAGGCCGAAAATGAAGAGTTCACCGGCAGACTGAAATCCTAACGACCAACCGAATTCGATGATGAAGAATTGATTTCTGGTTTGGAAAATGAGCCGTTATCAAGTTCTCGATGACTGGCAGCAGAACTAGGCGTTTCTCATACGACCGTGCTACCCATCTCCATTAGGCAAAAAGTGGTGGATAATGATGGCCTGTATTTTTATGAATAGCTGTTGTTGGTTGTTGTTTGAAGATAAGCATAAGTTGTGAATGTTTCATCAACGATTGAAACTTCCTTTCAAACCTAGTATTTCACTCGGTAAACGTGGTTTCCTGGTAAAAATAGATTGACGAACAAGATTAATTGCCATGCTCATGATCTTGAAAATATTTTAATTTATTTATAAATGAATATGTAACTGATGTTAATGAAATACTCTCCAATTATCAAAAGCTTCCACTTCAGCTCTTGTCCAGCGTACGTCGCACCTCCAGAAAAAGCTGTTCTACTGGTAATAAAAAATTCTTACCGTCCTTGTGCAGCGCAAAATTGCATCTCACTCATTGCTTCCATAGGGCAGGCATCCTGCTTGAAGTACATCGATGTTAGCTGTAATTTCGATCTTTTATGGATGCTGTCTGAGCGCCAAGTATTTTGAACGAAACAAGAAAAGGTAGAAGCCATTTATTCAGTGTGTTTGGCTTAATTAAGAAAAATACGGTCTTCGACTGTTTAAACGCCTCATAATTTTTGACCGACCTTGACGCTTTTAAAAATTCGGTAATTACAAGCCTGAGGAAAAAATACTTTAACACTCTGAAATAATTCGAATTTTATTTCTGTTCCACTTACTACTGGTTATTGTAAATTCACGGGAATATCTTAGGAATATTTCTATAAAAAACTACCACGGCAGCATTAGTTATAGTGGATCAAATTTTAATTTATTAGATGTACAATTATGACTCCGCCGCTTTTTTTTTGCTGAACAATAGTAAAAATGAAGACATGCAAAATCTTCGTTTGTTTGAAAGTGCGTTGAAAACGCTGGTTATCTACGTGCTTTTTTTCTAAACAGAATATTTAAATATGATAGCTTATATAGCACTTTGAAGATGACGGCTTTTGTACCCGAAACGCATTTTTTATAAATTTGTAATGTGAACTTTGGTGATTCAAGTGGTAAACTGATGCTGCAATGTTGGAAGGATAAGGTGATTTGCGCTAAACCTCTTGAAAGCTCCCAGCTCAGCTCCTTCATGACGTTTTTGATCGCTTTTGCAACATGAGGTCGGACGTTATTATGCAGCGATATTGCAAAATATGCATGATTAATAGAGCTCAGGCGATGTGACACGGTTGTAGAACAAGAAAGATTACGAAATGGATCACAAGTTTGAAGCTGAAGAGGATAGTCGGGAGGAATCTGGAGGATCAGGCGCTTTCACGCAGACCACAGGAAGCTCCATTTTTCATGCGCGCGGCTTCATTAGCCTGGTGCGTCTACCCACCATTCGTGCATGAGTAGCAAGTGAATTTGTTCTCACGGCAACTCCATCTTGAAGCAAATCTAGGCAATACGTTCACCAAGGCTCGCAAGAAAATGTACATTCGAACGATATCAAAATCAATCAATTTCGATTATTTCTAGTCAATAAATTTGAAAAGGAAAGTTCCAGCAAATGGCGCATTTTGGGTGCAAAAGTCGTCATCTTCAAGTCTATAAGAACCATGATATAAAATATTTTGTATACGAAAATGTACAAATAAATATCGTTTTCAACGCACTTCCAAACGAAAAAAATAAACTGGATAATTTCAATTTTGCTATTATTACAGCAAAAAAAAAACGGCGGAGTCATATTTGTGCACCTAATACTCTTCGAATGTCTTGTGAAGACGATGGACAAACTGAAGCTTTGAGTTTTCA